AAAGAAATGGTTAACTAAAATGTATGGTTATATTTTGAATTCAATTTTATACGTACGTATAAATGTATAAAAGTTACATTAATGTTACCAATAACGACTTTTTTGGAAATATTTTAGCAGTTGTCCCATAAACTAGAGAATTACATACTATTAAATAATCGAAAATAGTTTGTTATTAGTTCTAGGCTCTAAGAAAATCGTAAAAATACTATAGTATGGTATATCTGTGCATCTTTTGTCAGCTTTCACATGACCAGGATGAGTAACATTGATGACAGCGCTACTAGCAACATATGAGTTTCAACCGTCCAACTCTGTATCCCTTTTGAAGTAGTTCAGAGACAGTTCTGAATTTGTAGGGCGGATCTAGCGCTTTGCCAGACTAGTATGTACATACATAGGTACAAAGCCGTATGCATGTGCGGAAGTACTAATCGATTGTACCGCATTTCCTCTTACTACGCATATGCCTAAATGTATGCAAACATTTACAATAGCAAGTAAGCACAGGGTGCTTCTAATGAAATTAAAAATTTTATGCTGAAATACACATGCTAGCCTTTCGAAATTTTCTGCTGGGATATGCGTTACAGCTTCGCAAATTTTACCCCTACCGGAACCAAAGATGTATACACATCAAAAAAAGTGGACTTGGCACCTTTTCACCTTTAGGTGCCAATATGTACACAGCTAGCTAAATTGTCAGAAATCTGTTAGATATCCGTCAAACTCGTCGGAAAAAAGTCAGAAATCTGTATGATTTTGGCCGATATCGGTCAGAGAAGTATATGGAGAGGTTGACAGGAAGTCTAACCGACACGACGTGGGACTTAATTACCGACGATTCTAACGGATATCTAACAGATGTCTGAACAAATGATCACGAGAAATAACAATTATTAGACGTGTATGCCCGAAATCGGACATAATTCGATCAGACATATAAGATAAGGCGATAAATAAAATTCTCCAGACATTTCGCCAGAAATCTGTACGACACATGTAAGACTTGCCCAAATAGTCAACTTTTTATTCCGACTTGTCTGATATCAGAAATTGTTTGGAAAATGTTGTAGCTGGGTCAGTTTTGCCACTTTGTGAGAAGTTCCTCAGAACGTGAGGAATTTCGGGTGCGCTTGAGTATTTTTTGATGCTTTTTATTTTGAGGAATTTTCTCTCGATATATTTGTTGATAACAAATGCAGCCATGTTTTACACAAGAGAGTTGTTAATTCGCTCTGCAAATTT